GTGTCCCTTTAACTATATTCATTGTCAGCCAGTCCACACAAGTTTTGTTCCCATACATCCCTCTTAAGTTTTCATACTTAAGTAAGAGTATGTGAAAAGTAGTTAGGGTTGCCACCTTTCTTGGAAAAACATACCGGCCTTGCTAATTTGCATAATTAAATATGTATGGGTGACATCACATGATGTAAATCACAAGGAGTGATATAAGAGAAAATGCTGTAAAGTCACCAAAAAACTACTTGGTTTGATTCTGCTGTATAGATGGATTCCTCCCAGTGCCCCCATGTCTCTCAGTGCCTCCATGTGTCGATTACTCCAGGTCTCAGTGTTCCTATGTATCAGTGTCTCAATGCCCCATGTCTCCCACTGTCCCTTAGTGTCTCAGTGTCTGCCATAATGTCTCCCAATGTCCCTTAGTGTCTCAGTGTCTGCCATAATGTCTCCCAATGTCCCTTAGTGTCTCAGTGTCTGCCATAATGTCTCCCAATGTCCCTTACTGTCTCAGTGTCTGCCATAATGTCTCCCAGTGTCCCTTAGTGTCTCAGTGTCTGCCGTAACGTCTCCCAGTGTCCCTTAGTGTCTGTGTCTGCCATAATTTCTCCCAGTGCCCCTTAGTGCCTCAGTGTCTGCCATAATGTCTCCCAGTGTCTGCCATAATGTCTCCCAGTGTCCCTTAGTGTCTCAGTGTCTGCCATAATGTCTCCCAGTGTCCCTTAGTGTCTCAGTGTCTGCCATAATGTCTCCCAATGTCCCTTAGTGTCTCAGTGTCCCCATCCCTTACTTCCCTGAGCTGTAGGCTGTCTCTGCAGGGTGGGAGTTGCTGTCTGGACTCTCTGTAGCTGCACCCCTGCAGATCAGTGAGTATAGATATTCAGGGAGGGATATGCTGGAACTTCCTATTCCTGCCTGTCTCCACACACGTGACCCCTACTGGCCAGTGCTGGTATTGCATAGTAATCTCTTGTTTATACTGAGAAAAATACCAGCATTTGTATTGCCAGTATCACTGTAATATTGGCATCAGCCAGGCAGCCTCACATACTGGCTGTGCCAATAAAATAAAAGCCAGGTAGAATCCCTAAGAGTAGTGTGAAATATATATATATATATATATATAATTTTTTTTTTTTAATAAATCAATGGGCCTATTCCATGGGCTGGAGCTGCAGCTCCATCAGCCCCTATGTTAATCCGGCCCTGGGTACGCCGTATATTATGAGGCAACAGAGGGGGTACGCGGTTTATTATGAGGCAACAGAGGGGGTACGCGGTTTATTATGAGGCAACAGAGGGGGTACGCGGTTTATTATGAGGCAACAGAGGGGGTACGCGGTATATCATGAGATAACAGGGTGGGTACGCGGTATATTATGAGATAACGGAGGGGGTACGCAGTATATTATGAGGTAACGGAGGGGGTAGGCGGTATATTATGAGGTCACGGAGGGGGTAGGCGGTTTATTATGAGGTCACGGAGGGGGTAGGCGGTTTATTATGAGGTCACGGAGGGGGTAGGCGGTACATTATGAGGTCACGGAGGGGGTAGGCGGTACATTATGAGGTCACGGAGGGGGGACGGCGGTACATTATGTGGTCACGGAGGGGGGTACGCGGTACATTATGAGTTCCCGGAGGGGGGTACGCGGTACATTATGAGGTCACGGAGGGGGAGGCCAGATATTATGAGGTAACAGGGGGGACACCGTATATTATGAGGGCAAGAGTAGGGATAACGGACAT